GGTTCTATATTATTATCTGTTTTGGAAGGAGGGAATTCACTTACTGTGCTTCATACTTATAAGGGCCAATATTATTTTAGTATTTGGGTGATGAAAGAATATGGTGTTGTGGAGTCATGGACTGAGGTGTTTCCATGTGATTTTAAACGTTATGGGGGCATCTCAACTGTATCAGCTCTTAGCAACAGTGGAAAAGTGGTTCTGAGACCTATTGGTGAAGCCATGGTTTTACTAGATCCAATGAAAGAATCAGTGAAGCCTTGTGATGGATGGGCTTCATATTAATAAGGATTTGGGCCATAAAGAAGAGACTAATGGGCCAGCTACATATAATGGGCCAAGAAAAACTGGAGTAGGTTAAAGAAAGAAGTGAGATAATGAGAATAAATAGAGATGGAAAAGGGTTTCGGGGCATGTAGAATTTTGTGAAGCCTCTCCTCTCTGACTCGTCTCTTCTACCCTATGGCCATTGTCACTGTGACTCTGGAGTTTCTTCTTTTCCGCAATTTCTATTCCTTCTGCAACTCTGTGGCTTTCCCTTCTCTAAGTTTCTTGTTTCTATCATTTTAGATTCTGTAATTTTCACTTAATCAGGTTGAAATGGTGTATTTAGACTTAAAATTTCGATTAAACAGTGGCTAGTAGTGTTTTTATAATCTGAGTAAATCCTGAGTTCGTTACAAGCCTTTGGGAGTTCAACAAAATTTTCAAGCTTTTGATGGATCTTATGTTGAGAGTTTGTTTTTCTTTCAAAAACAAAGAGCCTGATGTTTTACCTTACTAACAATTATGAAAGATATATAGTAGAGGCAATGTTGTCAGATGGATCGATTCTGCTATAGCTGCTTTCTTGCCATGGAAGCGTTAGATTTAGACCAAATGTTTGGTCTTATATTTCTTGTTCTCTTGAAGTCATTTTCTTCCCTGAGCCTCCATTTTTAGCTACCAAGTAGTTAAGGAGAGTTTATATTGCGCTCAATGTTCAGTGGTTGCTGATAAGTTCAAATCAAAAAATGCTTATTTTGCACCTTGTCTTTTGCTACACAGTATATTTTTCCTTAGCTAACTTACATGTCTCCAAGCACTTGTGATTTGTGGTATCTATAGATAATATTTAAGTTTTTATGACGGCCACTATTGTTTAATTCAATATAAAGCCTTAGTTACTGTTTGAATAGAATAGCTGTAGGGAGGCCCCACAACCTGAATTTCCTTTGCATGAGCCTTCATTGGCTTGTCTTTATGAATAAAGTCATCTATAAAATAGAACACATTTTAAGAGGGTTGGGAACAATTACTTCTCCCTCCAATCTTATTTATTGATCATTTAAACCAATCTCATCAACATCAATACAATAAAGTACAAAGAATAATTGTAAAGGAAATCTCAAAACTAACTCTCAAGTGAAAAAGCAAAAAAGTAATCTAATCAATATAGAATTATTTTTCTTGTACTTCTCTCTCATATTTTACAAAAAAAGTTACTCTCTTTACAGTGAAAAAGATACTTTCAATTTTTCTTTATAATGAAAAATGTTAAATAAGTAAAGGTGTTTTGGAAATTTTATTTTGAAATGTAAAGTCATCATTAACTAGTGACTAATATTATGGTCTATATTTTTCTTTTAGAACGTGACCAATATAATGGATCGGAGGGAGTATTTTAAACCTCACAAATCATGCTCGTTATGACTCTTAAGTCTCAAAACTACTACTAAGCCTCGTCATCCAATTAGCTTGAATCAAAGAGGGAGTAGAAGAATTGTGCCATGGAAGAGCACTCATTATGCTATAAACTCTTGGTCCATCCAAGTGTTGGATTTAGTCTCCAAATCACCATGTATGCTTCATAAGCTTTGTTCTTCTTTTCTCCTTGTTCAACATAACCGATCAGTTTCTTGAATAGTGAGAGTCTGGTATCTCTTGATTGTAAGAGCATATGATCTTTGTTAGGGGTTTGGTCGTAACTAGCAAAAGCTAGAATTTAGATTAAGATTATAACATCTTGTTAATTTCAAAAGATATTTGCACTTCAATCTTTTAGGCTGTGTTTGATTTAAGGGGTGGGTGGAAAGTGTTAGGCTCGTAGAATAAATTCATATCCCTTTGAGTCTTATTAGCCATGGTGTTGCTTGAGGTGCCTTGGATGATATTATCCCTATATTTAATTATTAAGAAATTTTATTTTGAGTCTTTATACTTTATTTGAATTTTGTTATAGGTTTCAGTATTTTTTCGTGTTCTAAATTCCTACATTTTTTTTCAGTGTTATAAGGACCTGAAATATAAAAAAAAATATAGAGACCTATAAATAAATTCGAGTAAAATGCAGAAATTCAAAATTATATTTTTCTTTAATTCTTCTTAGTTTTTTGTTTGGCCTGAAATTCTTTTTAGTAATGAGAACATAGAATGAGTATTGTTAAAAAGTATGAGATGATTACTGAAATTTTTGAAAAATTAATGATTGAAAATATTAAAGATGAATATTGCAAACGAGGAGGATGACTCCTGAAAATGTAGAAGATGAGCAGTCGTCCTCCGTCCTCCACATACTCAAAACACATCTTTAATCTTTTTAGTGCTCAATTTTTCAAGCGGTAACTTTTTATGCTTTTAATGCTTATTTTCTATGATTTCAATAATAAAAAAATTTGTCTTTAATTCTTTTACTTTTTTAGAAGATGGATATTGAAAACATTTAAAGTGATTACTTAAAAAAATAGAAAAATTGATTATTGAAAATGCTAAAAATAACTTCTAAAAATGTGATGAAAATACAGAAGATGAGTACTAACAAAATTTAATTAAAAAAATTTTAGGTTAAAATGTATTTTCGATCTTTTAATTTTACATAAGGTTTTAGTTTAATACCTTAAATTTATAAAGTATTTTTTTAATCATCTAACCTTAGTATCGTTAGTCTTAAATAATTATTTTTATATAAATTAAACTTAACATATCAATATTTAAAAATATTTTATCAATATTTAAAAGTTAAATGGAGGAATTTTTTGTAAATAAAACTATTAATATTATAGTTAAATGATTAAAAAGATATTTTATAAAATTAAAAAACTAAAATGAAATTTTGTACAAAGTTAAGAAACTAAATGTGTACTTTAACAAAAATTTTAATTGCATAAACACCAGGATTTTTTTCCTAAATTTCAAAATTTTAGAATCTTGTTATGAAACTATAAGAAATATAAAAGAGATTCAAGATGAAAGAAATCAATAAGATAAAATTAGAGAGAAAGGAGTAGTGATATTTATTTACTTAAGTATCTCAAAAGGATAGTATATAGCTTCTATTTATAAGCCTCCAACTCTACAAAAGAGTTCAAATTTTATAAATAAAAAAAATTATTCTACATTATTGTAAAGCAAAAAATCATTGTAGATTATGCAAGTAAATATTAGAAAATCACCCGTTTATGAGTTATAGGGTAAATGACATTAACATGAGGCGAAATTCCAAGAGGTTATGGAGTTATAGATTCATAACAAACCTTCAATAGTAATTAATATTTTCAGTAGGTCCTTAAATATCATTTCCCCCATTAAATTAGAGTAGTTATTAAGTATTAAATCGTTTTCAGTGTTGCGTGGATCTCATCCAACCACCAGTCCAACAAATAGGAAACAAAACCGAACCACTTGCTCTGGCTCAACTGCAAAGCCAAGAAAGATGTCTCACAAAATGGTTAGTGCCGGCGAAGAACTCACTTAAGGCGTAAACTTTACGGCTAATTCATTTCCATTATCATTGTTATCATCATCATTTTGTAAAAAGGCCAAGTTCATTTCCACCATGAAACAATAAAAACTAACAAATTTTTAAAAAAGCAATAAAATATCTTCTAAACAGCTTTTAATAAAAATTTTCGTTTTCATTTTCATGCCAATAAAATTTTTATTCTTTTAAAAATATATATTATTTTTTCCTTTTATTCTTAGTGCTAATTACTTATGGTGAGGTAAACAAAGTCATAAATTCATACCAGAATCTGGGTTAGTAAATGCAATGGATAAAATGAGATTTTTTTTTTCTTTTAACAAGTAGTATGTTGCTTATATTTTGGACCAATATTAGTTAGAAGAAAAAAAATTATATTTTGGACCACAAGGAGTACTCTCTCCGTTAAAAAATATAATGTATTTTTAATCAAATCTTACCCCCTAATAAAGTAGTTATCTACTTTTTAACTAATCCTATCTTTTCATATTTACCCATATTAAACACCCTATAATAAATATAAAGTTATTATCAATAGGGGCATTTTTGAAAAATAACAATGATTATACCTCAAAAGATTAAAAATGCTTACATTTTTAAATATTCAACTTCTTAAAAAATACTTTATATTTTTTAATGGAGGGAGTATATTATATTATTATTTTTGGTATACCAAGGAGTATATTATATTACAAAAAAATAATAAAATTTTTAGTTCTTTAAATTTTCATTAATTATTAATCTTATTTCTTAAATTTAATTAATTAAATTTAAGTCTTTTATATTTTTTTAAATTATCATGTTAGTCTTTAAGGTTTAAAATACAAATTAAATATAAATTAATCTAATATATAAAATATATTAATAACTTAACATGCATATACAGTTAAATAAAAATAAATTAATTCTAAAATCAGATTAATTTTTATATATCTAGCTACTTATACTACATTTCATTTGTTTAAATTTTTTTAGTATGTTTTGTGCCTAAATAATAATATATATTTTCATCAATCTACATGTCAGTAAATTTTAACAATATTAATTTTTTTAAATAATAACAATTAAATTGATATTTAAAATAAATTTAACAAATAAATTGATAAAATTAAATTGAATTTGAATTACTCGATGCTTGGTGATCCTATAGAGTTTAGACAGAGCTGTAATTGTAAATTATAATTATAATAATTATAATTAATTATAATATAATATTAAATCCACGTTCGGCTAGTCAATTAAGCCAGACGATAATGACTCCTTTCCTGAACTACTGACGTTTGACTCTACCCGTAACTCCATGCTCACGTTCTGAACGTTTCCGTTCTCCGAACGCTTGAATTTCAGCTTCTCCAACAACCACCGACCTGGCCTCTCTCTCTCTTCTTCGCTCTTTTTCCAGATCTCTTCCTCTCTCTTTCTGTCGTTTTCTTCCATTCTATGGCTGTCGCCGCCGCCGAAGCCGGCGGCATGAGTGAACCGCAGACTCAGCGTATGGATGCCCCGCCTTCGGGATCACTCTCCGGCATACCATCGTCGTCTTCGCCCTCTAATGGTCTTGATCGGAGCCATTCTAGCAATTCTTTGCAGAACCCTCGTCAAGATGCTGAAATTGATGAGGTGCTGAGCTTATTATTACACGAGTTTTTTTTAAGGCGGTTTTTTGCTGATGCGTAATTCTTCTGGATGGTTGAGGTCCTTTGAATGGATTAATTTTGTGTTTGGTTGCTGAGTTGCGTGTTTCTTTTGCGGTTTTGAATTTCAGTCTCCGGACGTATTGAAGAGCGAAGAGTATCGTCAATTGTTTCGCCTTCCGCCGGAGGAGGTGAGTATTTTCAACCTTGATGAGCGCCGGTCTTTTCTGATTATAATTGTAATATCTTTTTAGGTGGATTTTCTGTTGGCTGATTGTTAATGCCATTCTGTGTTAAGATTGAAATTTAAGTGACTTGGAAAAAAGCAATCTCTGTGACTTGTGAAATTTGCATCTTCTTTCAGAACTAATGCAATTGTACTTATTAATGATACTTTATGACTCTTGTCATTTGGTTTGGTCATGTCATCTTTCCATCATTTGTTTCCTTTTCATGATTAGAGGATAAAACCTTTCCATTCTCGTCACAGAGGGCAAAAGAGTTCAAAAGAATAGACTCTGTCCTTGAACGTGAATGAGTGCTGAAGTTTGTGCTTTTTGGCTAGATTTTGTTTGATAAGTGTGTTTATATATAATGTTGTGTACCATAGTTGAGAAGTTTCTGAAATTTCCCGTCGTTGTTTGGTATTGAAGAAACTATTTATTCTTTATTGATTTTCATTTATTTTTTAGGTCCTTATTGAAGATTTTAACTGCGCCCTCCAGGAAAATATATTAATTCAGGTAGTTTTTACATTGGTTGAAAGTTGTTGCTGGAGCATGATTTGTTGCTCACGTTAATATTTCATTGCATTGTGTTGCTGTGGATATCTCTGTGCTACATTTTTAGAGATATACCAGCGATATGTTCTTGTTTTTATTGTTAATCTTTTCTTTCTTTGTTTTTTTGTTTTGTAGGGTCATATGTACCTGTTTGTAAATTTTATTTGTTTTTACTCAAACATATTTGGGTTTGAGACAAAGGTACACTACTTAAACAATTTTTGACTATTAATTTGTGCTCATATTGCATGTATTCTTGAAGTGAATTTTTGTTTATGGTTTTATAAACATTCTGGTTGTTAGCCATAGGATGAAGTATAAGACACTTACTTGTCTTACAAGCTTGTTTGAGGTTCAAGTTTGCCCACTTAATGGGGATCTTTTCTTAAGTTGTAGACAGAGAATTTAATTTCATCTTCATGTTAGTCCTTCTGATGATGATAGAGCACAATGGCGTCATGCAATTTATGTAGCCGACTCCCCCTAGTGGGTTAAGGCTTGTTGTTGTTATTGTTAGTCCTTTTGATATATCACTCTTCATAAATGTCTAGAATGTCCATATAAGTTTATGAATACATAAATGTCCAGAGGATTTTTCAGTTACACAGCCTAGTCAGGTAACTGAATAAGCTTTCAGCTGGTTTACTTGGTTGTGGTTGGGATTTTCCTAGATTCTAGTTGGCATGCATTGTGCTTTGGAAGGGATCACTTTTCATGGTCTGTAATACGGTCACTGTATGATTTCTGCAGTCACTGCTTTTAATTCTCACTCTTGGTGTTTATTGCTTTCTATAAATTTTGATGGTTTAATGATATAGAGAGTAATCCCACTTGATGAAGTAACCAGTGTACGGAAGGCAAAAACAGCAGGACTCTTTCCTAATGCCATTGAAATTTTTGCTGGAGGCAAGAAGGTATGCTGTATGATCAAAGTGCTAGCCTTGCATTTGGCTTTTGATTTGTCAATCAGCCCCATAATGTCTTACTACGCTTGTATAATTGGCAGCATTTTTTTGCATCCTTTCTGTCCCGCGATGAAGCATTTAATATCATTAATGATGGGTGGTTGCAACATCGCAATGCTGCCAAAGCCAGTACTGAGCAGCAGGTTAATTAAAAACTATGTTGATCCTTGATGCCTAATGTTTATAATTTTGTGAGGGTTAAATGACTTGGGAGCACATACATTTATTTCTACATAGGCAGTGTGATATGCTATTGGAAATAAAAGTTACCAGCCAGTATATTAATTTGTTGCCAGATTATGGACAAAGCAGCAAATAGGTTGAGAATGAGGAGGATGTCATGATTATTGGGTATTTTATATATAATTTACCACTTTTGCTGCGTTTAAAAGTTTTTTCATATTTAGAATGTTGGTGTGTCGGATGTAAATTTTTTTCAATTCTGGACAAGGCTTGGATGTTGGATGTGTTTTGGATTTGGATTTCTAAAATAATGATTGGCTACCCGTCCACTAAAATGCCTATCTGTTAAGATCCATTTGCATCAGTTTTCACTTATTTGAGCTGACAAGTCCTATTTAGTATGATATGAACTCCCTCAATGCATGCATTGTTATTTAGTTAATTTTCTGGTTCAAGAATAACATGGCAGTTCATTTTTGTTTGGAGGATTGGAAAAAAGTAGAGTGATTTTTTATAGGTCAAGTTCAACTAATGCCAATACTTGCTTTGCCTTCTGATAGAATCTTGCATTCCCAGAAAGATTGTAGAATGTCAATTAATTGGATATTATGCGTTACCTTCAGGAAGCAATATCTGAATCTAGCAGCCAAGAGAACGGATTTATAGCTATTGAAAAAGCGAACAATTCTGAGATCCTAGACAATGAATCACTCGCTACCAATCTGTATGCTTATGATGATTAAATTGTCGCTTTAGAATGCTTTGATTTAATGTGGGACTCATCAAGGGTTTACTTATGTGTGGCAATCAGGAGCAAAGATAATTCCAGCCAAGACAATGAATCCATGGAAGTTTCAGAGCAGCAATCTGGTGTAACTGATGTTACAGAAACTGTATCAAACAACGCTGATTTAGGAGCTACCTGGAATTGGAAGGAAGAGAATATTGATGCTCCAAAAAGTGAGTTTGGGTCATTCTTCTTGTTCACGATTGAGGTGAAGGCACATGAATGGTTTATTGTTCTATGATTTGTTTATGAGAGAAAATGTTTCTATGTCATTTTTTCCCACTTTTTTGAATTGCTGAATGAATGTCTATTATAGGTTAGGGAAAGGTCTGGTTACCATATAATATTTGCAGAAAAAGGAAAAATTTTACTCTCTTATTGCTTCACGGATGTGGAGTATAGCCATGACATTATGACAACCATCACTACTGAAATTTGTACAGCAGAAGGGTTGTATTTATTTCAAAAATTCAGAAGTTGCCTGTGAAATTGTATTGCAAATATTTTGTGCAAGAAGCTGTGCTAGTTAAAGAGACCAAATCAAGAAATTAGGTTATAACTTGTTTGTTGGCTATTAACTTTTTATCTCCTGTGGTTCAAGTTTGCTACAAATATCCTTTTTCCTTTTCCCTTTTCCCTTTTCCTGTCTTCTTCTTCTTCTTCTTTTTGGAACTATTGCTTTCTTGCACAGTCCAGCTAAAAGGGTGTTATTCTCATATTGGCCTTAGGGTTAAGGTGCAAAAATACCCATAAACTTTTTCTCCAAGAGTTTTTGGTATTCTTAAGTCAGCAATGATGCATGGGTACCCATTAATTTTATAAAAGAGGCCAACCTCCTTGGCCTTATGATGTACTTTCCTTGTATAGACATTCATATATTCATGTGCGTATTATCATGAAAAGAAAATAAATTGTATTTACTATTGTAGCATATATAGTTGAGAACTTTCAGGTTAGAAAAGTGTAATTAATTCTGTAATATGAAATAATATGCTTGACATTTGGAAATAAAGGTGATTTATTGCCTTGTGGCCATGTCTGAATTTCAATTTCATCTCTATGGTTCAACCAACTTCATTGAAAGTTTATGTTATGGATGATATGTCACAATGAGGAAGGTTTCCTTTTTAATGTTAGGAGTAAAGTCCTTATTCCTTTTTCTTCTTTCTCTGTAAGACATGTTTGGTTGCAATTATCAGCACTGGAAATTGCTATTAACCATAGAGTAGTTATGGATAGGAGGAATAGTTTGATGAAGGACTTAAAGAAATTGGAATAATTGGTGGGAAGGCAACTTCTTGTTTTGTGTGAATTCAGAGGATATATCTTATATGTTATTTATTAAGGGTCTGGACTAGGTGTTTCTCAGGATAATTCAGCTTAGAGCAGCCCTTTGAGGAAGAGGAAATTTAGAATTCCATTTAACTGTTGTATGAAGAAAACAAGCTTCATGACCTGTTGGTTTTACGGATGTGGTTACTTCTGGCATTGTTGGATATAGACAGAGAAGGCACTATTTAGGAGATTGATGGGTTTCAATGTGATAGGCAGTTAGTGTTAATAGTAATCCTTGTGCTGAAGAAAAGTAGGTCCATCAAGTGAGGGGTTGCGCAGGGGTGTGTGTGTGTGTGTGTTTTTTTTTTTTTTTTTAAGTTGTCTTAAGGTCCTCTTTGTTAGGTTAGTGCTGTAATATTTGAGACTTTATGAAGTTTATTACCGGAAGGGAATTCTTGGATGCAACATCAGCAGCATGATTTTTCTGTTTATTGAAGGATGGGAAGAAGTTTACAAACCATTCATGTTGGGATTTCATCGTAATTTATTTTCAAGTTTTATTACATGCTTTGAAAACTAATGCAGTTCTCCTGTGCATTTATTGAAATCTACAATGATGAAAATCTTCATCTCATTTAGAGCTTGTTGGATCATGAAGAAGGATCACCATGCTTATTCCATGCTTTGTTATGCAGCATAATAAATTGTGTGCTGCAAGCATATTGGCTTATGTATTTTAACAGGATACTATTATCCAATGTTTTATAGAATTTTAGCTTTGCAGATTAATGCTTTATTATGAATTGCAAATAATTGGTTGTTCAGAGAAATATTGTATGCTTGCAAGATCAAGATACACTGTCTATCTATCTATCTATCTATACTATGAATGTTGTAGTGTGCTGTGTTTTTGGTTTAACTACTTTGTCCTTATGATTCTTGGTATCTTTGCTGTTATATAATGCTTTGATCTTGTTTATGCCTTTGCAGTACCGGAGGCTTACACAAATGTTGCAGAATCAAAGTTTCCGGTAATTTGTGTTACAAATAGAAAGTTACTAAAAGATTACCCTATATCTGTTGATGTTAAACATAGTCCACACCAGGACTCCCTTTGGGGTGAAAGTGTACGGATTTCTTTCTTGATGTTCAAGTAACCTGTGTCCTTGCCCTATATGGAATTGATTTTTGCGATGCACTACCGTATTGTCCAGCAGTCTGTAGAAAATACTTGAGAGTGTGTGTATAATGATTTTAAATTAGAGGTGGCTGAGATTCTCAGAGTAGTTTTCCAAAACACTGAAGTCGTATTTGGTATGGATGAAAGAGGTTTCAAGAAAGCAAGAGTGGAGAGAGAATTCGTTATTTTGATATTTTTTGTACATGTTATTAAGTTACCAAGAAATTGATGCTTCCTTCATACAATGCAAATAAGCCTCATTTACTTGGCACCAAGGAAAGTTGCTTTCTATCAAGAACAAAAAATGCATTGCCATGCCCCCCTAATTTATAAAATGTTTGGACTTTTTTTTTTTGAATTTTTCAAAACAAGTATTTTTATATAAATATTTAAATATTTAAATGTTATTTCTCGTAAAAAAAAATATTAACCTCCTATTTTATATTAAAATAGTTCCCATGATTTTGAAAATTCAACTTAAATGTTTATGTAATACTTGCATGTACTGATTAATAGTTGAAACTAACGTGTAAAAAAGTTTGTCTGAACCTTCTGATTTACAAATTGCAGATAAAGGTGGAGGACTTCTTTAGGTACTTTTTATCAGACAACGCTGTTAATTTTCATGAGTTGTTTCATGAAAGATGTGGAGATAAAGGTAGCCTGCTTGAATCTTGTATTACCTTTTCATCTTAATTAGCTTTTGGAATATTAATTTTTTGTTGCTGATCTTGTATTATTTATTTTAAGTAAGGTAAGGAATAAAGAATACATAGTCTTTCAAAGCCTTATACTTTTGGTATGTATGATGGTTACTTTCAGACTTGAAGTGTACTTCATGGCAGTCTCAAGAAGTTGGGTATACCCGGGAAAAGTCATTTCAACATCCAATAAAACTTTACCTTGGTATGCATCACCTGCTTCTATTTTAAACAATCAATAATACAAAGTTCCTTGTTTTTGCCTGTGTTTCACTTTTTCTTTTTGCAATTATATTTTCATGTTTCTCATGTAATTTTGAATCCTTTTAAGGAGCGAAATTTGGTGGTTGTCATGAAGTTCAGACACTGCGAATCTACAAGAACAGGTTGTAGCTATGCTGTTGCTCGTCAATCTCCTAATGTTTATCTTTGATTTCTCTTCTCTCGTTCATCTGGGAAGAGAGTTAAGTCTGCACTTGAACACTGAACTTATGTGCAGTTTGATTTTAACATTCTTGGGGCTAAATGAGTTTTTGACAGGGGCTAAGTTTAGGGAAAGTTATGGGGATGCTAGGATGGATGTCCCTGGTAGATAGGGGCAAAAAGGGGTGAAGTTTAAGAACATAATCAGGTAGGCTTGGGTTATCCTTACAAAGTGGCTTAATAGAGTTATTGAAGAGGGGTTCAGGAGATGTGAAATTGACATTGATGCTCGGTGTATTGAAAACATGAAGAAAATATCTGTTGAGCTATTTTGCAGCCTCAAAAAAACAGGAAGTGGTGTCAGTGTCTATGCAATATTGCAACATATTGGAATCATGTGAATTGCCACATTCTTCATATCACATATCGCCTACTGATTGGGGAGAGAGGGGGCACGGGTGTACAAGTAGTGGAAGAGAGGAGGAAGATTCTTGTTAAATACTGCCTCAGCTCCCATATATAGGAATAACTAGTTAACTAATTCACATAGATTAAGGAAATTAGGTAAGTTAGTTATATGTAAAAAGATGTATGCTAGTTTTCCTAAATTACCCCTCCTTTTAATAATTTACATTAGAATATTATTAATGTAGCTAATTCTTCATACAAAACTCTAACTATAGGGGTAGTTTGGAAAAAAATAAGAAATATAGGAGACAAAGGAGATTGAGGTCTTACATTTGGGTCCAAAACAAACCCCCCAACTAGCTCCTACATTCAGGATCGGAGTCATTGTTGAGTTAATTTGGGATTTTCTTCATCATGATCTAGTTAAGGAGAATGTTACAGGATGTTTTTCTTCTCTGCTGAGTAATAGTTCTGTATGCTTGGTTAAATTATGACTGAGTTTGCTCTTATATTATTTTAAAATCTATATTTTTCTGTTCTTTTTTAATATAAATATTTTTTTTGAAGTGAAGTTACTGTAATTTTGCATTGAGTAGTTGAAATATATGGGGAAGCGTTTGAATCACTTTATTTGTTTTCTTGACATTGTACTTTTTTCTTCATTCAGTCATGTGGTTTTAGAGACATCACAAGAAGTCAGTGGCGTACCTTATGCAGATTATTTCCGTGTTGAGGTAAGCTTCTGTAAACTTCAATGCATATAATCAGAAATTTTCTGTAACTCTAAGCCATACTAGATTCTTTTGGAAGAAAAACTAGTTTTTCAGATTATGTTGTCCAGTTGTAAAACCTCTTTCATTTTCATTAAATGCACCTAAACGGAGATCTGATTTCTTCCACAAAAATGCAACAAGGAAGCTGCATTTAGGGAATATAGATGGCCTCAAGGAGAAATAAGTGCTTACTTTTTACATGACCAAGGAGCTGGCAAGCTCCTGCGAGTGTGCAAGACAAAGCTTTTTTAGTACTTTTATCAAAGTTGTCTAGTCTCCTTGCTGGTCTGCTGTGAGCTGTCAGTAATCTGAAATGTCTGATCATGTTTCTAGGTGATGAGAACAGGGGAGAGAAGTAGATGCAAACTCCATAGTTTATTCAAATCATAAAAAACATCTAACAATCTCACCATAGGGCTTATTTATGGAACCCTAAGTTCTATTATTCAAATAATAAAAGTAATCTAAACTAACCTTGCTAAAATAAGATCATCCTACATAAGATACGGCACTAGGATAAATCTTATAAATCCCAATCCAACTATAATTATTTAAAAAATAATCTTAAAATACTGAAATTAACTTTAAAATTTAAAATAATCCTAATTCTTTTTCCCATCATTTCTCCTTGTCTGAAGAGTAAAACTAGTGATAAAACTCCAAGAAGGCAAGACGTAGGATGTTATATCATCATAATTCTGATATAGGGAGAAATGAAAAGAATAACAGAGAAGGTAGAAGAGATAAAGAGGAATTAGAGAGAAAAAGAAACAGAGGGACAAGAGGATTCGGCTGAATGGTGCACAAGCTTCATGGATAATTCATAATGATTACAATTGACTTGTAGGGTATTTATAGAAATAAGGATACCCCCAACAGCTACTAACAGTACCTATTAACAGCCGTATCTCTATTAACAGTTATAACTAACCAACTAACAATAACAGCAACTAATATTTCAATATTATGATTATATAACAATACCCCCCTCCCAAGAGACTTTTGTCCTCAAAGGTCATGTATAGCAATTTGAGGGAACCTTGTTGAAATATTGGAAAAAGAGCATTAAACTTTTAGAAGCTACTGTTCATTTTTTTCTGTCACTGTTCACAGTTACTGTGCACTGTCATTGGTTACTGTTGATTCTGAATAAATGGAAATAATGAGCACCATGCTTGAGCCCAAAAGCATTTTTAGTAATCCTCCTCTGTGCCATAGAAGAACAAACAAGTGGGTAGGGAGGAGTTGAAGACAAAGAAAAGCCCAATAAGACAGATTTTTCAATGGGTTGATTGTAATGCCTTTTGAGTGGCATTGGGCCCATGCAATTATCCCAATTCAGAAGCTGGTACAAGTTCAATAAGGATAAAAGGTATAGCTTTTGCATCTGAAGTTTCCACCTACATGACAAAATGGGTTTTGACTTTTCAACCTTTATAGGACCTAGCCACGTGACGTTTTGAATAGAAAAATCAGGGAGTAGTTCCTTTTTCTTTCTTGAAACTTGAACCCATGTATTGACCATCGGTGTTACCTGCCATCCACTTAAACTACACCCACTTGATATGGAGGATAGCTGTCTTTGACCCATGCAGCCACGTGTGTAGACAAAAAACCCACTGAAGCTTACTCTCACATTCCCTTCCTGTTGTGAAAAGTTCACCCAAGTCCTGTAGCTGTGAGAAGTCTAGAGTCTTTAAATGGGCATGGGTAAGACATGCACACACTAATGAGAGGACAAAAGGTGGTGGTGGTGATGGAGCAAACAACCATGGGGCATTTGGAGTTACAGAATTAGACTGCAATGGGGAAACTAGAGGATACAGCAACGGTGACACCCTAGAAACAAGAGACAGCAATGGAGAAGCTTGTGGTGGTGGCAGAAAAACAGAAATAGGTAATGATGGGTTGATCAGAAATAGAGGCAAAGAGAAAGTTGGAATAGAGGGTGACAGTGGCTCTGTAAGTGGGCAACACTGAAGTTTTGAACAGTGTTGGGTATCCAAACTCAAGTCAAGACTGATGGTTTTACCCATACCAACAGTGAAAGAGCTTGAGAAGTCATGGTTAGAGATGCTCGAGCCTACTTCACCTTCCAACTCGTGTAAAGAAACCTTCTTGAAATCACTACCATCGACTTGCAGTTCTTGTACTCAACTTCAATGTCAATTGTTCTAGCTGCGGGATCCCCATGATTTCTAATGCCATTTTTGGCTTGCTGATTCCCACAATCTTGTTGAGGTGTACTTCCTTCATCCCTTTCTAAAATCTCCTGTGACCTATAATCATCTTGAAGTGCCCATGGCTTCTCTTCTGCCTTATGCATTAGCATGATTTCTTGCATTCTTGCAAGGCTTCTAGCTTCTTGCATCATTCTTGGTTTGAAGAGATGCATTGGTTCTACAAGTTCTAGCTTGAGCCTAGCCACATACGCAGAAACTAAATATTTTTCTTGCAATTTTAATCCACTAGTGTGGCTATCAAAGAATTCATTGAATTCTTTCACACACCCCCATTGATGAAGCCACATCTAGTGGTCATCCTCATATTTGTGGAATGAATGGTGTGCCATGGCTGAGGATGACTAGCTTTGATGCCACTATTATATTAGCATAATTCTGATATAGAGAGAAATTGAGGGGACAGGGAGAAATGGAGAGAATAACAGAGAAGGTAGAAGAGAGAGAGGAATTAGAGAGAAAGAGAAACAGAGGGACAAGAGGATTAGGCTGAATAGTGCACAAGCTTCATTGATAATTCATAATGATTACAATTGAATTGTAGGGTATTTATATAAATAAGGATACCCCTCAACAGCTACTAACAGTCTACCTATTAACGGCTATATCCCTTAACAATTATAACTAACCGACTAACAATAACAGCAACTAATATTTCAATATTATGATTATATAACATAGAATAAGGTAGAAGAAAGGAGAAAGGGAGAAAGAAAGGAGGGTGAAGTAAAAGAAAAGGAGTAGATGTCTAACTAAATAACTTATACAAATCATGAAAAAGGTCTAACATCAAACTATCTAGGGCGTGTTTATAGAGCCCTATGTATAGCTATCCAAATAATCAAAATAATCTAAACTAAGATAAGGAAGGGTAATAAGATAAATCCTATATATCCTAGAAAGTTTTAATCCAACTAATTTCATTTAAAAAGTAACCAAGATATCCTAATTAAAATAAGTTGATGTAAATTATCCTAATTATCTTAAACTAGGGATAAAATAACCCTGACATTTCCCCCCTATCAAGACTTGAAAGAATGGTTGTTCAAGGTGGAGAGATCCTTCTCTATGAATGGCATCATTGAAGGAAAGAAGTATGTTGAGGCTGCTAATTTTGGTTTTTTGCCCCTTTCTTTTTGGGGGTGCAGATGCCTTAACCCAGTCCTAATGGCTAGAAGCCACAGCACTGATCAGGAATTGGCCATAATTTAAGGAGTTGCTGGACAGGCATCATTGTCACCGGATGGTGATATTTAAGAAAGGTTAATGCCATTGAGAAAGGATGGCTCTGTTGAAAAGTTCAAGGAAATGTTTGAGCTACTATCAGCCCATTGAATGACTTGTATATAGACGAGGTGTTGATGAATGTGAACATTCAAATATATACTGACAGAAGAAATTCAGACTAGAGCTCGTCATTGTGATGGTTGTCTATTGAATATTACCATCTTGCATTTCTGAATAAGAGTTGGTGCTTCCTGAGCTCACGTTCATGGCTCTCACCATTCCAGAAGGGGTCATTCTTCTAGGGTTCAGATCCATGGGTGCTTTTATATCAAGATGAAAACAAGAAGATAATTCTCCTTTCAATTGAATCAATGGACACAAAGCCTTCTAAGCTAGCTTCATAAAACCCTAGAGAATACCCAAGCTGCAGCTGCGAAAGCAAAGATCAAATTCAGGGGAAGAAAAAAGAGAAGATCAATTTAGCTAAAAATATAGGAATCTAAAGAGATGATTTTTGCTTAATTGAGTACTATATATCTCAAGCTTTAAAAGACCAGAGTTGTAGCATTGGTTTAAGGGTCAATGGTTGGACTATGGTCGAACAGAATATGAATAATTTTTTTTTAATTTTTTATATTAAATATCGACATTTTGTAATTTTTTTTTCAAAATAAATTGTTGGATGAGATAAAATAATTTTCTATTCTTTTTATATGAAGTATCATTTTATTAGAAAAAATCTCATAATATATCTTCAAAAATCACTCTAAATTTGTTTAATATTTAAGAGCTCATATTCATAATTGATGGATACCTAGGCAGGAGAGGGAACTTTACTCCAAAGGCTAGTTGTTGAAGTGGGAGAGCAAACCCACTTAAATAGCTCATTGAGCCTCCTATACTGATGTAGGATTTAGTATTCCATACTACCAAGTATATATCAGAATTAGTTGGCTATGTGGAAGAGTATACTCTAGAAGAAAGAAATCCAACCCAAAAAGAGGATGGAACATATCTCATGTATGTCTCGGGAAAAAAATGGTGCTGGGCCTGACCTGAGAACAAGTATGGGCTGGCTGTGAAGTGGCAGAATAAGCATGATTATTTATATATACTTCTGTCAGGTAGTGCATGGACAAAGGGGAAGGAGAAAGTAGAATGTTATGGAGGGTCAGGAGGGACATAAGGATGCCTCAAAATGCATATACTATTTTAAATGTCTTTACTCTTGTGACTCTAGGAGAACAAACAAAGCTCTAAACGAATCCTTTTATTTGGCTTGGGAAATATAGTTTACATTGAAGAATAAATAATAATTTTAAAGTTGAACAGCCTGGTATTCCCCAAAAAAAAAAAAAATTGAACAACTATGTTGCTTTTGAGTTTCTTCATGTGTCCCTCTTTAGTAAATTTAATATTTTCAAGTGTCTATTCACCAAGAACGTTTGCCCTAATCATTTGTAGTTTTTGCTTACAAAGTACTTTCCTCATTTATGACCAGGGATGGTGGGATGTCCAGAAAGACAACAATGAATCAAAAGAGTGCTGTGTTTTGCGGGTTTATGTGGATGTTGCATTTTCGAAGAACACTATATGGAAAGGTGTTCAGTTTTCCTTTAGTCTATAGTTTACTCATATATAACCTTGGTTTGTTTGGGTTATCATCTTTTCTCATTATTACCTTATGTTTGCACCCAAGACTTTGTGGTTTGTAACTTGTTGAT